AATGAATGTTTACAAAGACTTTGCATTTCCATTTACTCATTGTTGCACTTTTCTCCCTGCCCACCACTTGCCCCAGTTCACTCTTTGAAAAGTAAAAGAAAAATTCTTTCATTGGTTTACAATCCCTCCCCCCAGGCCCACTCCACTATGCAGCCTTTGCTCTGGACTCCTGACATAATAAAAATACCTAATCACATATCCCTTTTAAACAGTTTTCTCCCTCATCTGTTTCAATGCAGTATACATTATTTATGTCACCTTTCTCAGTCTCCCCCCCCAACCCCTATGTCAGTCCTGTTTTACAACAGAGGCACCATGCAGTATTGGTCCTTTTGTGACTGAGATATTTCACTCAGCATTATGTCCTCCAGGGTCACCCATTTTGAATTATATTTCATGAGTTGCTTGTTCTTCAGTGCTGCATAGTATTCCATTGTGTGAACAGATCACAGCTTCTCTATCCATTCGTTTGTTGATGGGCATTTGTATTGTTTCCATCTCTTTGCTACTGTGAACAAAGCCATGATAGACATGGGTGTGCATATATCTGCCTGGGTGGCAATTTAGATTTCTTTTAGGTATATTCCAAGTAGTAGAATTGCTGGGTCAAATGGTATTTCTAGTTGTAACTTTTTGAGAATGCACCATACAGCCGTCCATAGTGGTTGCACCATTTGACACTCACACCATCAGTGAATAAGGGTTCCAGTTTCTCCACAACCCTGCCAGCCTTTGATATTTGCTGCTCTGCTAAATTTTGCTATTCTTACTCTGAGACCATATTTCACCATTGACAAATCCGAGATCATGCTGACGGCTAACTTCCCACCTCTATTCTCTGCTCTCTCCTTTCGTCTCTTGTAAGATAAAAGATACAAGGTCAACCCACAAGGTTGACTCTCTTAATATCATCAGATTGGGGTTGTTTCCTTAGTGAATAGATTGTATCCTATTCTAATCCCTTGAAGGAATCGTCTGATAATCTCAGATCACCTCACGAGGCAGGAGATTATGCTGTCACGACCACGTGGCATCATGACAAGATGGTCCTATCTCATCCTGATGTAACTTACTCCCTGCCGAGCACCAGTGCGGACAGGTGGTTACTTGGGAAGGACACCCTCCATGTGTTTACCGTGGTCTGTGTCCACAGGGTGATTGATGGCCGAGACTTGATGCCTTTGCTGAAGGGTGAGGTCCAGAATTCAGAGCACGAGTTTCTCTTTCACTACTGCGGTGCGTATCTCCACGCCGTGCGATGGCACGGGAAAGGAAGTAAGTATACGCCCACCAGCCCTGTAACCATGTCCACCTAGTGTCCAGCTAGTGTCCCTCCATGTCCTCATTTCCTTCCATCACTGGTAGCTGAGTGGTGAGGTGATGCCTGACCCAAATGTGGTGATTGTTAACTGGGCGCAGAAAGAAAGAGGGGACACGAGGAAAGAAATTCTGAAAAAAGAGGAAGGTTTAGGGAAAGGTCCTCTCAGAGTTTAACACAGTGAAAAGGCCCCTTTCTCAGTCTACCTATGGTTTGCTTCTTGGCTGGTTGATTGGTTGTGAGGTGTTTTGTTTTGTATTGTTTTTACCTTTTGTTTGGATACTTTTTACTTTTTTGTAAAAGCCTTCACTGCTTTTAAATAAACAGTATAGGTTTACAAAATAATCTATCCATTCCCAAAGAAATCAAATGAGGCTAATGGATTTGTCAATGAGACATTAAGAATGGGAAATGTGAATATGCTATAAATCCATCTTTTAAAAGCGTTATATTTTAGGGCATTATGTTTATCATAGGAGTATGCCCTCAGTGTTCTGGTTAACTGGAAAAGATGGTAGTAATGAAAGTAAAATCAGTTGGCTATTTTATGTGTCCCTATAGGTTTTATTGAGTATAAGTCAATAATCATAAAAATGTCAATCTCTAAAGATTATATTTTCCTTGTATTTAAGTGCTGCCAATGTAACAGTGGGTAAGCTTAATCTTGAAACTAAGACCAAAGTTTAGACACGGCATCCCCTCCGCTGGGAGGCTGGGAGGAACCTTCTGTTTGTAGAGGGGGTCCAGTATCTCCTCTGGTGGAGACTGGGCAGAATTTTCCATTTGTAGAGGACATTCAGTCCCGCCTGGACTCTGATCTCAGGTGTGGCCCAGCTATCACTATTCTGAGCTATCCAAAGGTCGCTAATATTATTAGGTGCTAGGGAGTCGAGTTCAACTCACTGCGACTCTATGAACCACATATCTAAACTCTGTTCCGTCCTGTTCCATCCCCAACATTTCTGACACCCTCGAGTCCCTTGTCGCAGGGACTCTTGTCAATATATCTCATTCAGGGTCTTCCTCTCTTTCACTGACCCTCCACCTTTCCAAACATGCTGGCCCTTTCTGAGAATGTGTCTTCAAAGTCTGCAATCAGGGACCTCTCCAAATTACAGAGGAGTAATCATGTCAGCTTGAGGATAAAGGGCATCGGATCCAAGCCATGGTCTTTTTCAGTCACTTGCTAGGCATTTGAGAACTGGATAATGAGTAAGGATGACAGGAGAAGAATAGTCGCCTTTGAGCTGTGGTGTTGGAGAAGAGCACTGACCATCCCATGGACAGCCAAGAGGAGAACACAAAGCTACATCTTGAAGAGGATGCAGCCAGGTGCTTCTCAGAGGCAAAGATGATTAAGCTTTATCTCACTTCCCGTGGCCATGTTTCAGGGACAGGCAATTCCTTGGGGGGGGGGGAAGACATCATTGCTGGGAAAAGTTGGAGGGTCAGTGGAAGAAAGAGCCTCAACCAGATAGATCGACACAGTTGACTTCAGTTAAAGTCAGAAACAGAGAAGGTCTCAAGACCATTTGGAAATGAGCAAGTAAGAAGGACAGAGATAGACGCGTGCAAATGAGAATAATAAATAATTAGGACAAGTGAATGTCGTCATTTATGTTATTTAAGTTATTTATAATTCCAAGAACATGGAAACAGCCCAAGTGTCCAACCACAATAGAAAAGATCGAGAAGTCGTGGTGTATTCACACGATGGAATACTATGCAGCACTCAGGAGCAATGAGTTTGTAAATTATTACCTAACTTGGGAAGGATGGGAGTGCATTATGCTGAGTGAAATAACTCAGTCCCACAAGGACAAATACTGTATTAGACCATTATGATAGAAATAGAAAGATAGCTGTTAGAACCTGTCTGAGGATCCAAGAATGAGGAAAGTTAGGAGCAGATGACAGATGGGGAGGCATCACCGGCATTGCAGTCTTATCACCCACATCATTAAAAAAATAATTTAATCCAAAATCTCTGTAAATGTTTATTAAAATTAATTTAAAAAATAATGTAAAACTAGTGAGAGATTGTGATGGTCTATGAGAGATGCATCAATCTCGTTTTTTCCTCCCTTACATAGGGTTCCAAACTTGGTGAGCACACCCAGGGCAGTATCTGCTAGATGAAATATGTCAATTGGTATACCATCAATTCCTGGGGCCTTATTTTTTGCTATTTCCTTCAAGGCAGCTTGAACCTCTTCCTTCATCCTCTTAGATTCTTGCTCATACATTGTTTCATGAAATTCTTCTGTGTCTGCCAATTCCTTTCGATACAGGGACCCAGTATATTCTTTCCATCTTCTTTTAATGCTTCCAAGATCATTTCATATTCTACCTAAAGCATCCTTGATGATAGCAACTCGAGGTTTGAGTTTGTTCTTCAGTTCCTTGAGCTTAAGAAATGCTGAGTGAGTTTAGCCCTTTTCATTTTCCTACTCCAGCTCCTTGCACAATTTATTGTAATATTTTACTTTCAGGATGGGTGTGTTGGAGGCAGTGCGATTGGCACAGGACGGAGCACAGTTTAGGGATTGTTGTACATAGGGTAGCTATGAGTTGCAAGCGACTTGAAGTCATGTAACAACAACAATATAGGGTCGTGATGACTCCACTCAACTGGCTATTATTTTGTGTTTCCCTCCAAAGGTGCTCTGGTTTGGAAAGTACACTATGTGACACCTGTATTTAATCCCGAGGGGGCCATCGGATGCTATGAAACCCAGTACTGTGCGTGCACGGGGAACGAAGTGACCATCCACAATCCACCTCTGCTCTTCGAACTGTCCCGGGACCCATCAGAGTCCACGCCTCTCACTCAGGACACGGAGCCCCTGTATCACTTGGTCATCAGCACAGTGGAGGAGGCCGTGAGGAGACACCGTGAGACACTCATGCCGGTGCCCCAGCAGATGTCAGACTGTCACACAAACTTCATGTGGCTCCAGCCATGCTGTGGCATGTTCCCCTTCTGTCTGTGTGACCGACAGGGTGGAAGTGCAGGAGGTAGGGTGTTGGGGTAGGAGGCATCCTGAGTAACCCCCTTCCTCATCCTGAAAGACACCCCACCACCACCACCACTGGCCTTGCAGAGTGCACAACAGAACCGAGTTTTTACATCACCGCTGGAGGTGAAATGCATCCTCTGGGAACCAGTTGATGGTTTTAACTTAAACTATTATTGTAGAATGAGTTTAAGAACCCAGGAGGGATGGGAGAGGCTGGAAGCAGAGGGATGTGGATGTGCAGGGGGAGGGAGGGATTAATCATTGATTAATTTGGTGGGTGAGGGAAATGGAAGGAATTTGTTCAAATTGGTATTTGCATTTTGTAAATAAACTAGAAGGGGGGAAAAGAAATGGAAAAAAATAAAATAAAAAATAAGAAGTAAAAAGTAAAAAGATAAAAAATTCAAAAATAAAAATAAATGACAAAATAATACTGAATACCGAATAGTGAATGTTAATGAAAAATAAGAATAATGTCTGCTCTTATAGACGCTATTTAATAGGACAGTAAATTTAAAGTTTTAAAGTTTAACAGGACAGTAAGTAATCAGTGCTGGAGAGGATGTGACAAGAAAGGAAGTCTTATATGTTGTTGGTGGGATTGTAAAATGGTACAATCCATCTGAAAGACAGTTTGGTGTTTCCTCCAAAAGGTGACCATAGAAAATCCACACGACCTTGGATTAAATCCACTCCTTGGATTAAATCCTGAGAAAATAAAAAATGAGGCCCGAATGGAGACTTGTATGCCAATGTTCATAGTAGTGTTTTTCACCATCGCAAGAACATGGAAATAGTCCAAATGTCCAACGACAATTGAATGGATTGAGAAGACGGGTTACATTATTCACACAATGGAAGAGCAGTGATTTCATAAATTATTATCTGACTTGGGAGGGACTGGACGGCATTATGCTGAGTGAACTAACTCAGTCCCACAAGAACAAATAAATTATTAGAACATTATTATTGAAATAGCAAGATAACGAGTAGAATGTGTATGAGGATCCAAGAATGGGGAGGTTAGGAGCAGAGGAGAGAGAATGGACAGGGAGGTAATCATACAGACACACAATCTGACGGGTAGAGGGAGGACTGGGCAAAGGAAATGGGAACGATCTGGTGTGAAAAACAATGTATACAAACTTATAAAGCAACCACAACAAGATAAAGGTAAATAATCCAGTCAAAAAATGGGCACGGGATATGAACAGACATGTCACCAAAGAAGACATTCAGATGTCCAACAAGCACATGAAGAAATGTTCAAAATCCGTCACTCTAAGAGAGATGAAAATCAAAACAACTATGAGATATCATCTCACCCCAGTCAAAATAGCAAAATTTAACAGAACAGCTAGCAACAAATGCTGGTGAAGTTGTGGAGGAACTGGAACCCTTATTCACTGATGGTGGGAGTATAAAATGGTGCAACCACTGTGGAAGGTGGTGTGGCACTTTCTCAAAAAGTTGCAAATAGAGATATCATTTGACCCAGCAATTCCACTACTGGGAATACACCCCAAAGAGACCATAACTGACATCCAAGCAGATAGATGCACACCCATGTTTATCGTGGCTTTGTTCACAATAGCAAAGAGATGGAAACAACCCAAGTGCCCATCAACAAACGAATGGATAGAGAAATTGAGGTATAGTCACACAATGGAATACTACGCTGCTTTGAAAAACAAGGAACTCATTCAATATTATTCAAAATGGGTGACCCTGGAGGACATGATGCTGAGTGAAGTATCTCAGTCACAGAAGGACAAATACTGCATGATGCCACTGTTGTAAAACAGGACTGGCATCAGGGTTGGGGGGAGACTGAGAAAGATGGGTTCAATAATGTAGACTGCATTGAAACAGATGAGGGAGAAAACTGTTTAAAAGGGATATATGATTGTGTATTATTGTCATGATAGGAGTCCAGAATGAAGGCTGCACAGTGGAGAGGACTTGGAGGGGAGGGATTGTAAAACAATGAAAGAGTATTTCTTCTACTTTTCAAAGAGAAGAATGAATTGCAGGGGAGGGCTGGGCAGGGAGGAAAGTGCAACAATGAATGAATGGAAATCCAAAGTCTCTGTAAGTTTTCATTAAAATTAATAACAATAAAAAAATTTAAAAACTTTGTAAGCAAACTAGTAAAAAATAAACTTTAAAAACAACAACAACAACAACACAGCACTGGAAACTAAAATGGACTTTTAAAAACACAACATCGGTGAGTGAGTGTGGAAGAATTTGGTCTGAGAGAATTCTCTCTCCCCTGTCACACAAGGAAAAACCCAATTATTAACCCACTTTGTCATAAAAGCATTGAGACGAGGTGGTGGGGTTGGGAAACGAGAAAAAGAAAATGGATAAATAAGGAATGCCACATTAGAATAGGTGGAAGGAAGGCTAATTTGAAAAGAAGGGGTGATAAAAAAAATCATAGATCTCAGCAATGAATGAATGGAAATCCAAAATCTCTGTAAATGCTCATTAAAATAAAAAAATGTATTTGCAATGAATAAATCATTGTGCAAAATTCAATTTTAAAAAATCATAGATCTGACAGTTAATAGAATGGGATCGCTTTGCCAGGGAAATGGGAGGAAAGAAGAGAAAAGGGAATGGTGTCTGATGGGATGAATGAAGCCAATGTTTTTGTAAACCTTCACTAACATAAAAAAAATTACAAAACATTAAAGAAAGAAGTCTGTAACTTTTCAAGCGCCATCTCTAAATAGGGGCTTCGACAGACAATGGCAAAAGGTTTGATGGGTTGCTTCAGGGACAACAGGTTTCTGGTCATGGGGGAAGAGAAACTCAGAAAAGGAGAATATGGGGAAACTTCACAATTTTCTATATGACATAGAGTCAGTCTTTATATATAGTCTTTCTAGATAGTCTATCTACATATACATATAGTCTTTCTGTATCTATATATAGTCTTTCTATCTATATAGTCTTTCTAGATATAGTCCTTCTACAGAGAGTCTATATATATAGTTTAGAGAGAGTCTATGTAGAATCTATATAGTCTATCTGTAGTCTCTCTAGTCTATAATCTATCTATTTATAAAATGTAGTCTATCTGTCTATAGTCTATCTATAGAATATAGTTTATCTATATAGAATAGATAATAGATAACTGAGGAGGACCTGAGGCGCTTGCTGCAGAAGATCAAGGACTACAGCCTCCTCTATGAACTGAAGCTAAAAGTCAAGAAAACAAAAATTCTAACCACTGGGCCAAGTGGCAGCATTAGCATGGATGGTGAAGAGATTGAGATAGTTAACAGTTTTAATTTACTTGGCTCCACAGTCAACACTCTTGGTACCAACAGCCAGGAAATCAGGAAACGAATTTCATTGGGAAAGTCGGCTGTGAGGGACCTCTCAAGAGTACTGAAGAGCAACGAAGTCAGGCTGGAGACTAAGGTGCGCCTGATCCGGGCTATAGTCTTCACAATTATGTCCTATGCATCAGAGAGTTGGACAGTGAATAGGGTTGATAGAAAGAGGATTGATGCCTTTGAGCTGTGGTGCTGGAGACGAGTGTTGAATATACCATGGACTGCTAGGAGAACAAACAGGTTTGTCCTGGAGAGGGTGAAGCCAGAATGTTCCTTGGAGTCAAGGATTCTGAAGCTTCGTCTGACATATTTTGGGCATGTTGCAAGGAGGGACTGGTCCTTGGAGAGGGACATTATGTTTGGGAGAGTGTAGGGGCGGCGCAGGAGAGGAAGACCTTCGATGCGATGGATCGATTCTGTGATGGGAGTGGTGGGAATAAGTGTGTTTGACGTGGCTAGGTTGGCACAGGATAGAACAGCATTTAGAGCTCTTGTACATAGGGTCGCTATGAGTCTCAAACGACTCGATGGTACATAACAACAACAACAATATATATCATTTTCTCCATGACATATTTGTGTGTTCTTTTGGAATATTCTTCTCTCAGAGCACCACTCAAGGCTGTCCATGCTTGTGTCATCCTTATTCATGATGCTATTTTTAGTTGCACATGGCAGCAATTAAAAAACACCATGGCTTGGATCAGACACACCTTAATCTTTAAAGTGACATCCTTGCTCTTAAACACTTTGACATATTTCCCTAACACAAGCCACACCTTTTTTTTTAAGCCACTATAACCATGGAGTAGCTTGTGGAGAAAAGTAAAATAAAGTCATCGACAACTTCTCCTTCCTCTTTCTTGATGTGGCCTGTGGGTCCGGTGGTGAATATGTTGGTCTTTTTTGACATTGAGCTGCAACTGGTATGAAATGTTGGCGTATTTTAACACTCTTTCACGAGTACCCCAAGTTCCCCCCTCAGTTTTGACGCACACGGTTGTGTCACCTGCATGACACAAGTGATGGTTGAAGCAAGATGATCAGCCCATTTCATAAAGAACAGATCCTCAAAAACATGCTATGAGTATCAGAAGGACATTATTGGAGAATATGTTGGAAGATCAATTCCTCTAGTTCTTTGGTTTTGCGGTTAGGGGCTATGGATTCAGAATAGAATTCCTTGAGACCCTAAGAACAACAGATCTAAGTAAGTCCTGTCCTCTCCTGTGTCATGCACGCCAGCAAAGAAACTCTCTTTGACATCAATCAGAGCAGGTCTGTTTACAGGATAAAGAGAGTACATTTCACAAATGCTTATGGTGCATTGAACTTTAGAGTTCCTTTTGTGATCACCGATTGCTACAGCAACTTTGCGACAACTGGTTATCTAGTGACATCTAACATTGTTTATTCTTACGTTGGTTATGAATTATTCCATTGCAATGTTTGATCAATATAGCACAAGTGATCCATCAGTACTCCTTTGGACCTTGTACCATGATTTTTTAGAAAATTTTATTTTATGAATTTTAATGAACATTTACAGAGATTTTTGGATTTCCATTCATTCATTGTTGCAATTTTTTACATTTTTACAATTGAGACACCATGGCTACATTGTTCACAACTGATGCTTCAATTCCTG